TTGAGTGGAGGCCCAATGTCCTTCTGCTACCTTAATACTAAACCTATAACTATATGCACATCTATTTCCCCATTCTCATATGTAAATATATTTGCATATTTACATGCCTTTATCTAGACCTCTATAAATGCCCTTTGCCTCCCAGCTCTTTTATTTCCTTTGACTTTCCTCCTGTCCCACTATCTTGCTCAGTCCCCACCAGGGTTTCAGCAATTCCTCTTTGTTACATTACCCTTGGCCATGCCCTATCAGGCCTCCCACACCCACCTCACCACCAATTTGGATCACTTCTTGTCCCTGGGTTTGTTAACACCACTTCCTTTCCCATCACCTCCCCCTTTCCCATGTCCCCCTAAGACTGGGACTGTTGGTCCCGTTGTTTTCTCCTCCAGATTGTTCATCCAGCCTATCTTATTTAGACAAACTTGCAGAGATAATAACATGCACAAAAACAAGACAGAGCAAAACCAAGCAACAATATACAACAAAACAACAACAAACCAATGACAGAAAACCAAAACAAAACAAGAAAGAAAAGCTTGTAGTTAGTTCAAGGACTGTTTGTTGGCCTTTAGGAATGTTTTCCAGTCCAGTCTGTTGGGGCACCATGCCCTTGCCCCAAAGTCCAGCTTCAGCATTCCCTGGGGACCTCGCCGCTCTATTCCCTTGCTGTTCTGTTGCACCCCTTAGTGTTTTGCTCCTTGTGGCAGGATCACATCGGGTGCAGTTCCCACACTGTGTCTCTGGTGTTGTACCCTGTGGGGCTGTGGGTCAGTGAGGGGCGTCATGTCTCATAGTGGGGCCAGCCATGTGGTCCTCGCTGTGGACTGGCTGCTCTAATTGGGAACATCGTCTTCACGGCTTGGTGCCATCATCATTTTCAAAACATTTTCTTTGTACTTGAGCCCTTGGTATTAGCTCCTCATTTATTTCCTTCCCTCCTCCACCCTGCCTCCTTCATGAACCCTTGATAATTTATAAATTATTATTTTTTTCATGTCTTACTTACACCAACCGCTGTCTCCCTTCACCCACTTTTCTGTTGTCCGTGCCTCAGGGAGGGGGTTATATGTAGGTCATTGTGATCGGTACCCCTTTCTCCCCCCACCTTCCCCTTCCCTGCCTGGTATTGTTATTCTCATTATTTGTCCTGAAGGGTTTCTCTGTCCTGTGTTCCCTGCTCTCATCTGTACTGGTGTACATGCTCTGGTGCAGCTGGATTTGTAAGGTAGGATGGGGGTCATGATAGTGGGGTAGGGAAGCATTAAAGAACTAGAGGAAAGTTGTATGTTTCCTCAGTGCTATATTGCGTCCTGATTGGCTCATCTCTTCCTTGTGACCCTTCTGTAAGCTGATGTCCAAGGGTCTCCACTCTGCACTCCCCCTCATTCACATTGGTATGATTTTTTGTTTTGGGTCTTTGATGCCTTTTACCTGATCTCATTGACACCTCATGATCACACAGGCTGCTGTGCTTCTTCCATGTGGACTGTGTTGCTTCTGAGCTAGATGGCCGCTTGTTTACCTTCAAGCCTTTAAGACCCCAGACGCGATATCTTTTGATAGCTGGGCACTTCGGTCCTGATCTCGATGCAAGTTCGTCGCCCCATGTGTTTTTCCCAACTCCTGGTGTACCAGTAGCAAGGTGTTCGGCTGCAACATGGCCCTCCCCGAGATGGCTCTGAGCATCCCGACTCATGCCTCCCAGCACTGCAGGGAGCCCAACCCATTCTTCGTGTGTATTGGGAATCCCCAGCTTCATGTGCCCTAGCCACAGAGATGGCCTTGCCCTGGCCCTGTTTCAGGGCTTGGTTCTGTGTCTGTTAATTGCCCTGACGTTTCCATGACGAGGTCCCTCATGTTTCCAGCTTTTGCATTACCGTGCATCACTATGCAGCTCATGGGGACACGGCGGTGGGTGGGTGGAACCTTTTTCCTGACCCCTCTGACATCATCAACATGCCCACATCCCTGCTAACAGTGTAAAGGCCTAACAGATTTGGACTTGAGAGGTTTGCTGTGCAACACTTCAGACTAGCATGAGGTTGCTATGTTTGTTTTTCGCACCTGGCTGGCAGAGCTGCAGGTGGCGGAGTCCCTGCCCTCTGGGGAGAGGAGGGGTGAGGAAAGCTTGGTTGCATCTAGAGAGAATGAATCTGCAGCTCTTTTGTCTGTTGATGCCTGACTGACACATGTCCGTGGCCTTTAATTTGTGGGCAGAGCCTTCGTGGAGTTTTCTCGGAACCCGACGGAGAGGTTTAAGACTCTCCCCGCGGTGTACATGGCTGTCAAGATGTCCCAGCTGAAGGTCTCCCTGGAACTCAGTGTCCACGCTGCCGAGGAGATCGAGGGGAAGGTGCGAGGGGGGGCCATGTCCAAGCTCAGGAACACCAGGTACTGTCACACCGGCATCTGCTTCCACCGTTGTGTGCCTCTGGAAAGGGTGTGTTCATCTCTCTGGCTTTGAGGGCTGAGTGCTGGCTGGTCACCGGGAAGGCAGCCCCTTCCCTCCTGGATCACCTCCCTGTGTTCAGTGCTTTCACTGCAGCAGACAGGAGCTGAGAGGGGTGGTGGGGATGGGGGTTTGTGCAAAGTCACTGACTTGAGATTCTCAGTTTCAGTGGGGGTGGGGGGCAGATTCAGTCCACTGCCCTCTCCCCTCTGGTCTTGGTTCTCTAGATCCTCCTGGGAAGCCTGCCTCTTGCAGCAGAACAGGTACTCCTAGTTCTCAGCAGAGCAGACGAGGTGGGTGGGCAGCTAGGAGCACCTTCCCTGGGAGCTGTGCTCCCGACCCCATTGACCATGCCAGTAGGGTCCCTGGGGCAGGGCCCCTCCCTCCGGAACCAGGTGAAGCCAGCTTTCAGCGCTCGTCTTGGATGCCTGTGCTGCTGGGGCCATGCTCTCCAGCTGCACTTGTAGGACGCCCCATGTAGGCTCTGCGCCATTTTTCTTGGTGTGGAAGGCTTGTTTCTGAGAGCGAGGCAGCACCTGGTCTGGTCTTTGGAGAGAGGTGAGTCCATCCCTGCAGTACAGCCTCGATGCTCATGTGTGACTGGACGGGTGGGAACACACCTCAGACGCTGTCCCCTCACTGTAGAACACAGGTCTGGGGAACATGCTTCTCAGATATGTTGTGCTGGAGTCCGGCCGTGGCTCTCCTGCTGCTGTCGGGTGACTGACCGCAGGAGTCCCTGCTCTGCTGCTGCACCCCTGAGAGCGTATCCTGTAAGAGGCCTGACTGGGGGATGTCCTCCTGGACGGTGCGTGCCACTGATGGCTGCACCCCCAGGGTGCCCCCACCCATGTGTGCAGCTGTCCCCAAGCCCTGGCTGCTAAGCCACCACACTGTCTTCTCTGGCTCAGGTGTTTCAGTAGAAATAGTGGACCCATCCACGGTACCACTTTACATATGCAGACTTTTAACAGCAGTTTCTAATAGCCTTTGAAAACAAAACCATGTTGTTGAACCAGGGTGAATGTGGACTTCCAGAAGCAGACCATGGACCCCATGCAGGTCTCATTTAATACTCTGGAGAAGCCACGGTCGGTGACAGAGCTCATCCTCACTATTGATGTCGCAGAGGTGAGGGCACTGGTGTCACACATACATGCACACGCACACGCATACCTCCCTCACTCCCACACGCAGCCTCTGCACCTTAACGACCCAGGCACAGTGGGTGGGCTTGACTCACAGCACTGCTTAGAATGTGACTGCATGGGAAAATGACACACACATTTTGGTTATAGAACCCAAGCCCACATTTTAAGTGCCAGATCCCTTAAAAGTGCTCACAATCAGTTTTAGCAGTAAGGTGAATGTGAGGGGTTTTCAAGCGCATCTTGCTTTAGGCCTGTGGACTAGCACTGAAACCCGGGTCTGGAGGGGAGGGTTTCGTTCTTGCCCAGAGCCTCTGTCTCCTGATGACTTTGTAGCTGCACTCCAGGGGAGAGGCTGTACAATCTGGGTTCTTGGCAGATGGGTAAATTTGGGTGATGAGGGTAGTTATGGTTGGGTACACCTCTTGCCACGGACCTGTTCCTCCAAGGTGGTGGTGTGCCCACTGGTATGTAGCCGCTTCCAGCCTCCCTTCCACGCCTCGCAAGTGCCTTGCCCTGGAGCCACTGGGCATACTACCTGGGGCCAAACAAGACCAAAGGGCTTTTCAGTTGTGTGGCCTCTGGGGACCTTTACTGTTTGTAGCAAGTGAGTCCTGTTCGAGAGAGGGGAAGGCTGTCCACCCTCTCACCTCAGCCACTGGGGAGTGCTAACCTTTTTCCTGACCCAGCACCTCTGGAGCCCCAAGGGCTGTGTGGCATGCTGTCCTTCACTCGAGAGGTGGGGAAGATGTGGCCATGATCCTGGACTTCCTCTCTGCCTCTCTCCTCCTCCTCCCCAGGTGGTTGAGGTGGGACACTTTTGGGGATATAGGGTTGACGAGAAGAGCCTGGAGCTTCTGAGAAAGCTCACCACCGAGATCAACCAGCTCCAGTTGGTGCCCTTGGCTATTCACCCCCACCCAGACCTGGTCTGCCTGGCGCCCTTCGTGGACGCGGATCAAGAAAACTACTTCAGAGCGCAGATCCTGTATGTCTCTGGGCAGCTAGCGGAGGTGAGCTGCTCAGGACAGGTCCCTCCAGGGTGGTTGGGAGAAGCTGAGCCTAAGACCACGTGCTGAGGGATGGAGTTGACCTCGTTCCCTCAGGGAGGCAGGGCTCTGCCCTCGGTCCCGTCTGGCTCCGTGAGGACAGGCGCTGCTGGGCCCGGTGCTGGCGGCTGTGTGGCCCGTCTCAGAGCCGTGACCTACTCGTCTACAGGTGTTCTTCGTGGACTATGGCAACCGGGCACACGTGCACCTGGACCTTCTGATGGAGATCCCCTGCCAGTTTCTGGAACTTCCATTTCAGGTGAGGCAGGGCAGCTTGGTGGCCACACAGCCATGTGCACTGTCTGCCTGTCCAGCTCTGTCACACTGGCCCACTGCGGGTCTCAGGGAAAACCAAACCCAAGCTCAGCTCACTGCCACAGAGTGCTTCTGACTTATCGTGACTCTGCATTCTTGAGGCTGTGAATCTTTATGGGAGGAGCCTCATCTTTCTCCTGAGGAGCAGCTCACAGATTTGAACCACCAACCTTCTGGTTAGCATTCAGTGCGGGGCCCACTACACTACCAGGGTTCCTTGCCCCCAATTCGCTGTCGAGATTCCTGTTGGTATGGATTTTGGAGTGAGTGTCAGTGTGTGGAAGGCTCAGACAGCAGCAGCGTCACTTTCTCCAGCACTGAGTAGTGGTTTCTCGTGCTGTTGCTGAGATTTCTGGTTCAAGTAGGAGGAGGGCATAGTCAGATGTGCTGTTTCTATTTCTAAGGAAGCAAAGAAAGGTTTCACTTTTCTGCCCTTCACAAAGATGAGCTCTGTTCCCTAGACGTCTCTAGCACACAGCTGGTTTGTGTGAGGCCTGTCGGGGCAACGGGTGGGCTATTTGTGGTGTTTGGGTCGGCCATACGGTTCGGTTTGGTCCTGCAGGCGTTGGAGTTTAAGGTCTGCCAGATGCGGCCATCGGCCCAGTGCCTGGTGTGCGGTGAGCGCTGGAGCTGCGGGGCCAGCCGGCGGTTCTCCTCGCTGGTGCTCGGCTGCCCACTGCTCGTCAAGGTCTTCTCTGTGGTGCACAGCGTCCTGCACGTGGACGTGTGCCGCTACTTGGGGACCCAGGACACTGTCAACGTGCGGGATGTCCTCATCCAGGAGGGTTACGCCGAGCTCACCGAAGAGTCCTACGAGTCCAAGGTATGCGCCTCCACTGTTCCCCGTCCCTCACAGGCACTCCTGGTCCCCGAGGCCCCGTGATGGTGGCTGGGCCAAGGCTCCTGGCTGACTGTTTATAAGAACGGATCCCAGGGCTCCCCTTCCTCCCTGGAAGTATTGAGTACGTGTTTGTCTCAGCTGGTTCAGATATTACAAAGGGTAGCTCAACGCTTTCCAAACCTGGTGCAGAGCTGAATCTTTGGGGAGATACCTGTGGGATGGCTGTTGCCTCTCTGCCTGTGGCCTCTCCTGGGTCTGGGAGCACAGCAGGCTTGGGACTCGCTGACCAGCCCGGCCCAGGGAGCCCTTGGTTCTCAAACTGTGGGTCACAGCTCCTTTGGGGGTTGAATGACCCTTTCACAGGGCTCTTCTGATTCATAACAGTAGCAAAATTACAGTTATGAAGTAGCAACGAAAATCATTTTATGGTTGGGGGGTCACCACCACATGAGGAACTGTATGAAAGGGTTGCAGCATGAGGAAGTTGGAGCACCACTGGGCTCCAGTGAGTGTGCTTCTGGGGTGTGGGTATGGCCTCACCCCTCTGTGTCCCTCTCCCTGTCTCAGGCCAGTCCCTTGGGTTCCCTGAAGCTGAGGTCCCCTTTGATTTGTACTGTTTTATTGTCTTACATTCCGTTGACGTGCATCTCTAGGGGTGGAAGAGAAATGCCTGTTTGTGGGAAATGAGAACTCATTCAGAGGACATTTCACAGGCAGCCTTGCTCCCTAACCTCTACGCCACTGTGGGGACCAGTGCTTGCCCACACAGCCCGGGCACAGACCCAACCTGACAGGGATAGGGGGCTGCAGGGCCCCTGGGGGAAGGGGGCTACTTAGCAGTCCTAGAGAGCCCAACCCTGCGTCTGCTCTACCCCATAATCACCCGAGACAGTCCCGCCCCAATGTGAGCCCTGCTCCGGGTTTGAACATGCTCACCGCTGTGTGCTGCTCTGTGTGCAGAGCACACAGACAGATGACTGCGCACTTTCCCTTTGCTGGAGTCTAAATGTACCCCCACCCTTCAAGACGTGGTGACCTATTAATTCCTCCGTGTCTGTGAGATCCGGTGATTGGACTGGAACAACGTGCTTTCCTTTTTTTTTTTTTTTAATAACTTGCTTTTCATGTGTGTGTTCTGTCTTTAATGAGACTGGTCTTTCTTACTCCACTCAGCAAAGCCATGAATTCCTCAAAGGCCTCTTTTCCACCTCGGCGGGGAGCAGCACTGGGGGCGCCATGGCTGTGCCCACCCCTGGGAAAGACGACGAGAAGTGCCTGCTCCGGGTTCTGCTGGAGAGCTTCTCCTCCAACAAGCTGGGCCCCCCAAACTGCAAGGTGGTCTGGGTGGGACACCCTTTCCATGAAAGAATATCATAATCTGTTAATCAGAAATTAACACATATATCATTCCACAGTTCAGTCATGTCAAGCAGTATTGTACAATTGATACCTCAGTCAGTTTCCAAACATTCCCTTTCTTCCTGGACACCTTGACATTTTGAAACTGAATGCTACCTTTTCTGTATTATCGGAAAAGACAAACAGGGTTTAGGACAGAGCCCAGCTCCACTAGTGGTTTTAGGGCACCCCACACACATACACACAACACACGCACACTTGTCTATCAGTGGGGGCACCCCTCAGAGAGGCCACTCTGACTTCCTGGCCGTCCCTCAGTGGGCAGGGTGGCATTTATGAGGTCCTGGAACCCTAGACACGTGCTGGAGCCCTGTGCTGGAAGCTGAGGACGGGCAAGGCTGTTGACCCTGCTTAGCTGATTCAAGGGTATTGCCTCTGACCTCCTACCCCACCTCTCCCGCTGGGCTCATTAACAGGCTAATACCTTGACTGCATTATCTGGCAGTACGTTCCCTTCTTATTGGTTAAAAGTCAAACCTGTCATTGACTGGATTCTGGCTCAAGGAGCCACCCCCATGGGCACAGAGTGGGGCTGCCCTGTGGGTCTCCGAGGCTGAAACTCCTGACTGGAACAGACAGCCTCAGCTTTCTCCCACCGAGCAGCTGATGGGTTTGAACCACCATCAGCCTGTGTCGAAGCCCAAGAGGTGACCCATGCGCCACTAGGCCTTTTCTGCCCCAAGGTTTTCCTAGATGTGTATGTTGAGGAACGTTAGGGAAACCCTCACTGAGGGAAGCAGCTGCATCCTAGAATCACCTTTAAGGCATTTCCCCCCACTGACTCTTGAAGACGCAAAGCTTTTTCAAAACTGTATGCTCGCTGTCCTCTTGCTTGCTGGTAACCCTTGGCCTGTGTTGCGTGTACAGGTGATACTGCATGGGCCTTTCAACCCCTATGAGCTGAAGTGCCATAGCCTGACCAGAATATCCAAGTTCAGGTAGGGCTAACTGACGCTCCCCATGGGCTTTCTCTCTGCTCCTGCATCGACAGAACTCACCAGAGACTAAGGTCTGCATCTGCTTGTAATGCGCCATCTCTACTCCTGTCTCCCTGCCCCCGCCCCCAACCCTGACTCCAGACCAGCATGTTCTTTCTCTCAGAGACATCTGATGTCTCTCTTCAGACTCCATCTCCCTGCGTCTGATATCGTTGCTCTTTGGTCAGTCCGTGTGCTCCACTCTGTGCTGGGAGACTAACAGGCAGGACACAGTGTCCAAACAGGAAGGGCAGGTCCGAGTGGAGCACTCGGGGGTGGGGGGTGCAGGGTGGACCCCAGGTCTCTGTGAGGGTCCTGAGTGAAGGGGAGTGGGCGGGCAGGCACACGGGCATCGGTCTGCTGGTGGCCGCACTTGTGTGTTTAAGCATCTTACCTTAGGCTGGGCCTTTGAGTAGCTTTGTGGCGGGTCAGGGAGCCCATGTGTCCTGATGGGTCTCCCTTCCAGGGGCGTGTGGATCGAGAAGGAGAGCATCAATTCTGTCATCATCAGCGACGCCCCTGAAGACCTCCACCAGAGGATGCTGGTGGCAGCATCCCTCTCCGTCAACGCCACCGGTAACTCACTTTCTGGGTTGTCTCTGTCATCCTTGACGTCAGTGACTGGAAACGACTCACTCCCTGACCAGGGTGGCGACCCTGTGGGGGACATTCTGCATGTCCTGGTGATGCTAGTTTAAGAGGCCGAGTGCAGCACTGGGCAGAGGGGGCACCTCTGCACTGTTGTGGACTTGGGTTACTTCCTGGCCTGCCCCTGGAGAAACATCATGACCAAGTGGGAGACAGAGAAGGACAGGGTTAGCAGGTTGGGACAGATGCTCGAGCGTTAGGTGTCTCCTGGGAGAGGCAGGAGTTGGGTGGGACTCTGATGCTGGTGTCCTCCTGGCAGGGTCCACCATGCTGCTGAGAGAGACCTCGCTGATGCCCCATATCCCTGGCCTGCCAGCCCTGCTCAGCATGCTGTTTGCACCGGTGATGGAGCTGAGGTGGGTGAGGTGGCACGGCTGTGTGCAGGCACTTTGGGCGTGAGAGCCCACAGTAAAGCTGGACACTCCCCGTTCGTCTGGACTTGTGATGGCGGTGCATACACTGCGGGTGGAGTGTTCCCTGTCCTGCCTCGAAGCCTCCTGCACCTTGGTCTTTGCTGCGCTGACACGTGGCCTGATGAGAGCATGGCCCCCTGTTGCCCCCTGGGGGCTCCTGTGCAGGGCAGGAGCAGGTGTGTGACGGTGGCTGTGTTGTCACGGCTGTGAGTGAGCCGAGTTTGCTGGCACCGTCTGTCGACAGGGCACTCTGTCCTTGGCTCATAAGTTCACCAGGGGTATTCACAGTGGGCTTGTTGTTCTTTGGTGCCAAGATAGATGGAAATTTTCCTCAGCTTTTGTTTTTTTTCAGCGCTTTGTTTTAAAAAAATCATTTTATTGGGGTTCGTACAGCTCTTATCACAATCCTTACATACATCCACGTGTCAAGCATATTTGTACATTTGTTGCCACCATAATTCTCAAAACATTTTCTTCTACTTGAGCCCTTGGTATCGGCTCATTTTTCCACTCCCTCCCTCCCTCCCTCCCCCACCCTCCCTTCCTCCTGAACCCTTGATAATTTATAAATTATTTTTTTCATGTCTTACACTGACCGATACCTCCCTTCACCCACTTTTCTGTTATCTGTCCCCCTGGGTGGGGGTTATATGTAGATCATTGTGATCGGTTCCCCCTTTCTCCCCCTACCTTCCCCCTCCCCTCCCGGTACCACTATTCTCATTATTGGTCCTGAGGGGTCGTGTTTTATTGTTTGGTTGCACAGTATCCTCACGTGTACTCATCAGTGGTGTACAGCCCAACTCCCTCCTTTCCCTCGCGCCCTCTCCAGCATCAACTCACTGCCCCTCAGGCGTCTATAGCCCCTCTGGCCTTGCACCAAGCAGTACATCAGGACAGAAAGGGCAGCTCAGGCTAACACGCTTATTTGGAGCTAAGAAGACTTTGGGGGATGCTCTTGATTTCGGGTTTAAAGATGATCTCCAGGTCATAGTTTTGGGGTTCATGCATTCTTAGTGGCTCCAGGAAGTGCAGGATCCATGGCATTTTGAAATTCTGTTCTACATCATTCCACCTTTGGATCAGGATTCAGCTATGGGATCTTTGTCTAAAAGTTCCTTGTTGGTAGCCAGGTATACCACCTGGTTCCAGAGGTGCTCACAGACATCCCCCCTCCCCACGCACACCCCTCCTGGGATTCCATGAAGCACCTTGTGGTGATGTGACTGGGACCACCAGTCAGCCCAGAGGAGTGTGCATTGTGGGGTGAAGCTCTGGCCTGGGCTTTGAGAAAGAATGAGATCGAGTCCTTGGGGCCATAGTGGACTGGGCAGGACAGACGTGACTGGCACACACCAAAGTCAAGGCCTTGATGTGCCTCAGCAGCCTGGAGTGAACCCTTCTTTTCTACCCCTTTGTGATAGTTACATAATCTGGTGTCAGTTTGAGGATTAAGAGTGTAGGGGTAGAGTCTAGGCTGTCAATCAAGATATGGCCAATGAGGCCTCTCTGTGGGCATGGTCTTCCCCTAAGGATTCTGGAAATTCCTAGATTTCCTCCGTGGGAAGTGGGAGAGACTGTCTCTGTCTCTGTCTCTGCTCGCTCGCTGAGAGACATTGTAACTGATGAGACACATGGAACTACACTAGTTTCCTGAGATTGAGAAGCCACACGGACCTACCCTGATGCAACCAGACCTCTGAAGCTGGGGAAGCCATGTCGAGACCCCTGCCAGTGCTGAGATGCTTGGAACGCCACTGGATCCAGAAGACTTCCCACCTACTGGCCCGTGATCCTCCTGCATTTGGTGTCATCGCATGTGTTTTGTGAGTCTTAAGAGGAATTTACAGACTGGTATCAGACATATGAGCAAATGTTGCATTTATGGACGTGATCTGGACAGGGCTGGGATGTTTTCTCAATATTCAGTTTCTCTTGTTTATAAACCTCTTTATACACATGAGTGTCTATGCATTTGTTTTTCCAGTCTGCACACCCTTCTTGGTGGATGGCCAAAAGTGGGAGGGGCATGGTTGAAACACTTGCTGATGAAGTTCAAGGATTCTCTGAAAGCAGAGAATACCAGAAATATGTTTATTTGTGTTCTATTGACTATTCAAAGGCATTCAACTGTGTGGATCATGACAAGCTATGGATAACCTTGGGAAGAGTGAAGATTCCAGAACACTTCACTGAGCTCATACAGAACCTGTACTTAGTTCAAAGGGCAGCAATGTGAACAGAACAAGGGAATACTCATCCATAGACTCCCTGACATCAGGTTGACTCCAGCTTACAGTGGCCCTGTGGAACAAGACAGAACTGCCAGTTGTGAGCTTTTCTGAGGCTGTAGGAGTAGAGGGCAGCTGGTGGTTTTGAACTGCTGGCCTTGAGGGTATCAGCCCAACATATAACCACTAGGGCTCCTTCAAGTTTAACATCAAGGAAGGAGTGTGTCCAGATTGTGTCCGTGGTGCCATGCGTGTTCCAGCTGTATGCCGAGCAAAGCATCAAAGGAACCGCCAGATGAAGGAGAGTCCAGCACAGGGAATGGAGGCGGCACAGCCTGGCTTGCGGGAGCACGCAGGACTTGAGGGTGAGGACTGCAGCCTTCGCTGTGGACTGTGACTCCGTGTGAGGGAAAGCAAGACTCACAACTGGACCCAGCGGTCACACGATGATAACAGGAGGAAAGATTGTCTTCCTTGGATCCACAATCACGTTCATGGAAGCAGAAGTAAGACATCAAATGGCACAGTGGACTGGGTCAGTCTGCTGTACAAACCCTCTGCACAGAAATGCAGAACACCAGAAACATGTTTATTTGTGTATTGTGTATTTGCTTATATAGAAAAGCAAAGGTGTTACTTCGAAGACTAAGGTATGCCTGACCCAACCATGGTATTTTCTTTTTCCCCCAAGCCATGGTATTTTCAATGGCCTCATATGCATGTGAAAGTTAGAAATTGGATAAGGAAGACCAAAGAAAAATCAATGCATGTGAATTATGGTGTTAGCATAGAGTACTCAAAGTACATGGACTGCCAAAAGAACAAGCAAATCTGTCTTGGAAGACGCAGTTAGAATGCTCTTTAGAGGCAAGGATGGTGAGACTGCCTCACGCGTTTGGCATGTTGTCAGGAGCGCGGTCCCTGGCGAAGGACAGCAGATGCTTCCTAAGTGGAGGGCCGCTGAGAAGGAAGGCAGGCCCCGAGGACGGCCCGGCCCGGTGGCTCCGACTAAGCGCAGTGGTGAGGACGGCGCAGGACGGGGCGGGCTTTGTTCTGCTGTGCATGGGGCTGCTGGGTGTTGAAACTGACCTGATGGCACCTAGCAACAATATATGTACATGCACATGCATGCGCACACACATAAACATGGAAAGTGTACAGGGAGTGTTCTGGTATTTGTGTTCTCACCATAATAATATATATGTGTGCGCGCGTACACACACACGCTCTCTTCTTTAAACCACTGTGGGAAATATCTAAACCCCCCCCCCCAAAAAAAAAAAACCAGGAATGGTGTTAAGTGATCACAGTTCCTTCCGTGGCCTCAGGGCTGCACCCTCAAGGCTCCCGAGCATGGTGGGAAAGTAGCTGGGCCAGTGGGATCCTGGGTGCTCTGCAGAGGCAGGAGCCCCCAGCAGCCACTGTGGTCCCTGTGGGGAAGGCAGCAGCCAGGAAGGTAGGTCAGGACGTGCCTGACGCCTACACAGTGCTTGCTTAGGGTGGGCTGCCGGTGGCAGCAGAGCTACTGGAGAACTTTGAGAGACACACAGGCAGGATGAGCTGGGAAGGGGTCAGTGTCGGGTAAAACTGTCAAAAGTTGTGTCATGGGTTTGTGCAATTCCTTTGGGGGGGTGAGGGGAACACATCTTGTAGGCTTTTACGAAGTGCCAGACTTGTTTCACAAGTTATAAATATGTGTGCAGACTTTTCTTTAGAAATCTCACTAATGAGAATTTAAACCAATGAAAGAATTCAAAGTATGTGATCAGATATATTCTCTCCATCACCTGCAGCAGTGAGGTGTAGACAGTGTCAATGGGCAGGGCCTGGGCCATCAGGCGGCCTCCCCTGGTTCTCATGGCGTAGAACTCAAGGCGTAGCCTCCTCACCGACCTGACAGCACACACAGTACTCCTCTGCTGGGTTGGAGAACATGTTGTAGTGACCACACAGAACTCCCAGTCCACGCTCACAATTGTGGGGTTTGTTAGGGAAAAAGGAACAGGTTCAATCAGGGCAGTTTTCCAACTGTGCTGAGGCAGGCCTCTGCTTGGCCCCTTGTTCCAAAGCTTGCTCTTGAGCTTCACCGTGAAGTGCCCCTATGTTCTCTCTCCACCCAGCTCTCTAGCGCTATGGACAAGTGCCCAGCGGCACCCTCTGCCAGTGAGCCTCCCACCTGAAGGTGCTCAGCTTTCTCATTCCTTGACCAGGAAGGCTCCTACATCACCTTGTGCTCGTGTCGTGCCTCCGCTGCCTGTATTCCAACATTACAGCTCTCTGATACTTGTTTGCTGGGTCTAAGGGGACCCATGTCCAATGGATGCTCTCCACTCCTGTCCTTCCTTGATGGTAGTGCGTCTTCCCCCTGGGGTGGCTCCTTAGCCTTGTGGGATGACAAAACAACCATTTTCCTGTGAAGACTCCATACGCTTACTGCTGCATGGCCCACACTTCACCTTGCACCGTGAGCCTCCTCAGCGTGATCCACAAGCTATCCTAGACTCCGTGGTGGGCCATCGACATCTTAGTTGTGTAGTCTCGCCCCAATGTTTGGTGAGAAAAGCCACATAAAAGTGAATGGTCACATTGCAGAGACCTACGTATTGGCTCAACTGTTAAATGCCCTCTCCTTGTAACTTTATTTGACCCCCCCAGCTCTTTTACAATAGTACTAATTCTTACACATTTCCTGTAGGGTGGATCGGGATGGAAAATGCTACACTGGAGTCCTCTGTGGTTTGGGGTGGAACCCAAGCACAGGCACCCCCATCCTGCCAGAGCATGACATTGAGCTAGCCTTCGACGTTCAGTTCAAGGTGGAAGATATCATGGAGGTAATGGTGATGTGCTTCGTACAGTGCCTGGTACGTGCCCTGTTGGCCACACTTGGGACCATGTGCAGTATGGTGCTGCCCCTGAGCATCTGGGGCTGCCACGTGCAGCAGGAGAGGAAAGAAGCAGGAGTGGCCCTGTGCTGATTCCCATGAGGTAGGGTCACATGGACCCCTGCTTTCCACCGTGTTCACCGTTTCTGATATCAGGTGCCCCTCCCTTCCCTGCCAAACTCTCTGCTTCTTGATGGGTTGGAGTTGGTTTGATAATTGCTTCTAGTGATCTCACACAGACCATAGTCACACTGAAGTGGTGTGTTAGGAAAGTATGAGGGTCTAACTCAGGAGTGAATAGGAGATAGAATATTGACACTCAACCAAGAGGACCCTCGGCTCCTTCTCAGCCCTGCCTGCAGGCAGAACCTTCTCTAGGCCTCTGTCCCACTTGGGTAAGTGTCCCAGCCCTCTAGCTCCTTAAACACCCCACTCCACCAGCAAGCCTCCTGCCTGAAGACTGTGGCACCGTCTTGTTCTGTGGCTGGCAGCCCACTGCAGCCGCCTCATTTCGTGAGCCAGCAAAGCAGCACCAGCGGCATCTGCCCATTCTGTGGTCCTCACTGCTTGTACTGCCTCTGTCACTTCTATGCTAGGGCTGCCACCATTACTTGCTGCCCTGTGTCATCTCTCCGGTGTTCCAGGTCTCTCTCACCTCCCTCCTCCACCCCACCCCTGTCCCCAGGAAGTTCTCAGTACGGGACTTCAGGCTGAGAAGTCTTCTTAATGGTAGTGACACCCTCCTCATCCTCTGGGATTGACCCTTAAGTTAAATTTCCAGGCATGGCCCTCCCTATCAGACCGTGAACTGACCAGTCCTCTGGGTAGACCATAGTCACGTAAGTTTGCATACTACTTGACACATTCCCAGGAGGTCAGTAGTGCAGAAAGCCCACGCAGGATGCCCAGTGCATTGCAGAGGGGGCGTTCTCTCCTCAATGTGTCTGCTGCCCAGAGGCCCCTTCGCGGCCTTGCCCTACTGCTTCTCTGCAGAAACTTTCCCTGGTAGAACGGGCATTCTGAATTGCCCCGTTGGGCACCTCCTGGCACACTAGGTTTTTCAGGGTAATTGAACTGAAAACTAGGCTACAGGACTGCTGTGGGTCTGTACCCAAGACACATTTGGTACAAATCAAGACTAACTGGACATCTTGGCCGGTTCATTGGGAAATGGGGACTCGAGTCCTGGTGCATCTACATCCTTTTTCAGGCACAGGTGTGCTTGTCTGAGGGGTGTGAGCCCAGCCCTGTCCAAGAGATCAAACCTGATGCTTGCTGAGGCAACTGCTTAGAAACTCCCATAGTGGTGCAACAAGGAACCAACCATCTGGGAGAGAAACTTTGGATTTGCATCTTACATTCTTGCTTTCATTGTGTCATGTGTATTGCATTCACAAAGTAAAAATGAAGCTAGCTTTGCACCACAGAGAGTGTGAAAGTCCCTGCTCTGGGGCTCTTGAACTTGGTTTTATTCAGGAGTGCCATTAAGCCAGGGAGGTTGACATCACCCCTCGAAGCCATGACCCACGGGACTGGGAGGGAAGCTGAGACAGGCCATGCTGACCTTGATCTTACCCCCAGGAGTACTTCTGGGAAACATTTTCTACATGGGGGTTTGCCCTCACAGGGGATCTAAGGGCTTCTGCTCTATAGAAATAGATGCACAATGTCACAGGGGAGAAAAGCTACGCCACTTGGGCTCGACAGTGGGTTTTGAGATAAAGGTGCCAGAAGCATGATCCAGAAAAGAAAACATTGAGAAACTAGACTTCATTAAAATGAAAAACTTAACAATAAAAAAAGAAAAACTTTTCCTCTGCAAAAGTCTCTGTTGAGAGGGAAAAGAGATAAGCTACAGACTATGAGAAAATATTTGTAAATCATATATCTGATGAAGAACTTGTGTAAGAGGAATACCCCCCACCCCCATCCCCCCAAAAAAGAAAAAAGCCTCACTGGGCAGAGCTTTTGTGGTGCACATTTTCCCTGGTAGGTGAGTATCGAGCAACTCTGAGTCAGTGCACCCAGGACTGTCTCTTGGGAAGGTTCTCTCTGGTCATAGTGAATTTTTTCGTAAAAGCCATTTGCTTGAACCTCTTTTTTGCGCATAGCTGATTTAAGAGAACAGTGTGGGGCTGTGAAATTTTGTTTCCTGCTCAGGAAAAATTCCACAGAAACTTTTGCGATGTTAAACACAGGTTATAAGGACAGTACTATGGGAAAAATTCAAGTGTACTGGTGGTTTTCTTATTTCAAAAAAGGTGAAATGTTGAATAATGACAAATCTCATTCTGACGTTCATCAACTTCCCAAATTGATGAAAATGTCCCCAAAATGTGCACTTGTTCTCAAAGACTGATGAGAGACCATTGAAGAGATGGGGAAGTTATCTGGACTCTCTTGGAGTTCGAGTCGGCGGATTTTAACAGAAGATTGGGGAATGAGAAGGCTTGCTTTGAAATTTGTGCCTTGGGTTCTGACGGACCAGCAAAAAGAGTGTTAAGTGGAAAGATGCCGTGCTTTGAAAGAACAGCTCCAAAGCAACCCAGACTTTTCTTTACAAGGTCATTACTGCTGAGGAAACATGGTGCTCGTCTGAAAACCCCCAAACAAACAGCAGTCAAGCCATCATCAACTCACCCGAAAAAGCTCATCAAGTGAAATCACAGATCAAGACGATGCTCATTTGGTTTTTTGATGAGGGAATAGTACATTTGGAGTTTGTTCTTCCAGATCAGACTGTTAATCAAGCTTTCTATTTAGAGGTTCTGAAAAGATTGTGTAATAGTGTGTGACAAAAAAAGGCCTGATTTGTGGCAGATGGGGGACTGGTTTTGCCACCACGACAATGTGCCTACTCACATAGCCATCTGAGCTTGCCAGTTTGGGGGCGAAAAACAGCATGCCTCTCTTGCCCCAGGCACCTTACACACCTGACCTTGCTGTGTGTGACTTCTTTTTGTTTCCACAAATGAAGAGGGACATGAAAGGACTGATTTGATGATGTAGAAGGCATGAAGAAGAAAAAAATGAGGGAGAGCCTGTCAGCCATCCAAGCAGATGAGTTTGAAAAATGTTTCCAAGCATGGAATCGCAGACTTGACAAATGTCAGTGTAATGGAGAGTACTTTGACGGTGATAGGGTTGTTTTGTAAAAAAAATTAAAAATAGAGCGTTGGGGGGAAAAAGTCCAGTTTTTGGGGGGTACCCGTGCATATATAATTTTCACGTGATGAATTCTTAAAACTCAGTAATAAGGATAAAAATTAAAATAGGTATGAAAACATCCTCAACACCATATATCACTAGGGAAAAGTGAATTAAAAAGCACAGTGAGATACCACTGCATATCTGTTGTTAGGTACCCTTAAATCAGTTACAGCTCATAGCGACCCTCCTGATGGACTGGCCCTGCACCATCTCCTTGACAATCTCCCTCTGTACCAATGCCCCTCTGCTCCTAAGAAGCACTCTGACTACTTCTAGGAATGGCTTATTCTTCTGGTAGTCCATAGCGTTAACATTCTTCTCCAACACCATAATTCAAATCAATTCTTGTCTGGTCTTGCTTATTCATTGTCCAACTTTGATTTGCATAGGAGGAGATTAAAAATACCCTGGCTTAGATCAGACACACCGTAATCCTCAAAGTGCCATCCTTACTCTTCAACACTTTAGAGAGGTCTCGTGCCGCGTGATTGTGAGTCCAAGCAACGTGAAATCATTGTATCATAAGACCGCCTGTCTTCCAGTTGTGGAGAGCGTGGCTCTCTACATGGAACCGCAGTCCGTACTGAAGGACGTGGTCTCTGGTGTTCATCTGTGAGTCCTTCGCGTCTGCTTCACTTTCAGCAAGCACGTCGGTATGCTCATCTCCAACCCTGCAGTCATAAGTGTGGTGAAAGCATTCCACCATGATGCGCACCTGTCCTGCTTTAAACCATTTAAACCCTTATCTGGTTCCAAAGACTGCCTCCTGGTCCAGGTTTTACATGTGTAAAATAAAGTGTTCTCTGATTGTCATTTTTTGCAGTGTTATCCATAGTTTGTTATGATCTGCATAATTGAATGGCTTTGCATAGTCAGTGAAACACACTGAACATCTTGCTGTTTCTCTCTGCCTTCAGCCAGGATCCATGTGATATCAACCACCACAATCCTCGTGTCACATTCGCTTCAGAATTTGATTTCGTATGTCTAGCAGCAACCTATTGATGTACTGCTGCAACCATTTCTGACTTATCCTCAGCACAGTTTACTTGCATGTGATATTTATGAGATTGTTCAATTATTTCCACATTCTGTTAGTCACCTTTCTTTGGAATGGGCACAAATAGAGACCTCTTCCAGTTGGTTGGCCAGGTAGCTATCTTACACATTTTTTGGGCATAGATGAGGGCGTGCTTCCAGTGCCTCATTGGAGCATAGAAACATTTCAGTTGGTATTCCATCAATTCCTAGAGCCTTGTTTTTGGCCAGTGCCTTCAGTGCAGTGGACTCCTTCCTTCAATATCTCTCTCTCTCTCTCTTTTTTTTTTTTGTCATTTAAGGATGCTTTTAAGGGGGGAAAGCCCCAAGAAAGTGTGGGTTGCTTTTTCTTCCCCTCCTTGTTCTTAAAATTGCTACCTCTTGAAATGGCTGAATGTCAACTGGTTCTTTTTGGTCCAGTGACTGTGTGTCCTTCTGTCACTTCTAACGTGTCCTGCATTCAGTGTTTTGCCCACGGAGTCCTTCAGTGTTTCAACCTGAGGCTTGAATTGTTTCTTCAGTTCTTTCAGCTTGTGAGATGCTGCCTGTGCGCTTCCTTTTTGATTTTCTAGTTCCAGGTCTTTGCACATTTCATTATAATGCATTATCTTCTTAAGCTGCCCTTTTGAATGTCCTGTTCAGCGATTTTATTTTATCATTTCTTCCATTTGCATTAGGCCCTGTACATCTAAGAACAAGTTTTAGAGTCTCTCCTGCGTCCACTTTGATCTTTTCTTTCTTTCCTGTTTTTAATGAAGTTTCGTTTTCTAATTGTATGATGTTCTTGATGTCATCCACTACGTATCAGATCGTCGGTGAGTCAAATCTGCACTTGAGATGTTCTCAGAATTCAAGCGGAATATGCTCAAGGTTGTATTTTGACTCTGGACACTTGTTTTAATTTTGTCCAGCTCCAACCTGAACTTGTGAGCGATTGATGACCTGTTCCACAGTCAGCCCCTGTTGAGGCTGTTGGTATTGAGTGTCTCCATCATCGCTTTCCACCAAACCACAGTCACACTCACTGACATTGAGTTGATTCTGACTCATAACCACTATGGAATGGCCTAGAACTAGCCCTTGTGTGTTTCTGAGACTAACTCTTTAAGGGAGGAGGAAGGGAAGCCTCACCTTTCTCCTGTAGAGTAGGGGGTGGTTTCAAACTGCCAACCTCACGGTTAGCCCAATTTCGTAACACTGTGCCACCAGAGCCCCTCTTTCCTCACCGACAGTCACTCGGATTTCTGTGTATCCCGTCTGGAGATGTCCGTGTCCACAGTCACCATTTGTACTGTTGCAAAAAAGACATTTGCAATGAAGAAGTAGGTGGTCTTGCAAAATTCTACCATGTGCTCTCCAGCTTCCTTTCCGTCACCGAGGTCATATCTTTCAGCTGTAGATCTTTTCTGTTTTGTCCCAGTTTTTGCTTTCCAATCACCAGTAATCATCAGTGCTTCCCGATGGTATGTCTGATTCATTTCAGACCGAATAGGTTGGTAGAATTCTTCAGTTTCTTCATCGCTAGCTTTAGTGCTTGGTGGGTGAATTTTAACAATAGTTATATTAACTGATTTTAGTTGTACATTCATAGATATTATGCTATCACAGACAGCAATACACTTCAAGATCACATCCACAATGAATGTGATGCTGTTCCTTCTGAACTCTCCATTCTTGGCAAGTAAGCTAGGAGCCCTGGTGGTGTAGTGGTTCATCGTTGCACTTTGATCCTCAAGGTCGGCAGTTCCAAACCACCAGGTGCTCCTTGGGAGAAAGACTGGCCTTTTGACTCCTGTAAAGAGTTACGGTCTCGGAAACCCACAGGGCCAGCTCTCTTCCATCCTGTAGGGTCACTGCGTGTCCACGTCGACCCAGTGACAGTGAGTTTGGTTTTGGTTTGTGGCAGTAAACGATGTTATTGCCTGACTCAAAAAATGACTAATATCAGTCTATTTCACCTCACTCATGTCCAGGATATCAATCTTCATATGTGTCATTTTATTTTTGATGATTTCCAGTTTTCCTGGAGTCATACATTGTATATTTAACACTCCAGCTGTGAAAGGATGTTTTCAGCTTTTTCTTTGCGTCTTGAGTCATGCCCCATAACAAGGAAAGGTCCTGACCTCTTGCCCCGACCCACATCCAGGTTGGCTCTACTTTGAGGAGGTCACTCTTCACGAGGCCTTCAGAGTGGCCCAAGTCCAGAAAACGGGAATAACAAGCGCTGGCCCAAATGCAGAGAGACGGGGACTCTTCTTGATTGCTGGTGGGACCACAAAGTGGCCCTGGCATTTTGGAAGACAGTCTAGCAGGTTTTTTAGAGTTCAATGCTACAGAAATCCAATGCCTAGGTATCTCTGTAAGTGACCCAGAATGTATGTTCAAATAAAGGCTGCTGCTGGAAATGTTTACAGCACCTTTTATTCAGAGTTGCTAGCATCTAGAAGCCGCCAAGTGCCCTTTAGCGGGGTGGATGCGCTGTGCCTCAGTACAGTGAAGGAAGGTGGCAGTCTGACTGAATCTTTACTGAATAGGACAACCTAGACCTCCACCCCCCACTCCCACCCAGGGGCTACGTAGTGGATGATTCTCTATGACATTCTCGAAAGGGCCGCACGGTGAGGACATGAAAAAGATTAGTGGTGACTGGGGGGAGAGTGCAAAGGGCTCGCACAGGGGCTCTGTGAGGATGAAGGGCTGTTCTGCATGGCCCTGGGGTAGTTGATACAGGACATGGCTATGCGTGGTCGGGACCCATAGACCTAAACCTCATAAAGAATGAGACTACAAATTTCTTGAAACCAGTGAAGGGTTTGTGTAAATACAGCTAAGCCCTAGAAGGTTTTGCAAATGGGATGCAAAAGGAAGCAAGGTGAGAGAAGCTGCAGAGGGAGAAGAGCCCAGGAGCCTTTGAAGAGAGCTGTAGCAACCAGGACAGAGGCCTGGGAGTGCTCCAGTGGCAGAGCTGGTGGACACAGTTCCTAGAGGAGCCCTGCGCCAGTATTGAGGGCAAGGGTAATGACCAGAGGCAGAGAGGTCTGCCCTGAGGGCCCCAGAGGAGCCCTGCACAGCAGAATAGGGTCTGCTTGCTTGCATGGTGACAGGAGCTGGGTAAGCTGCCCTGCACCCAAAGAGGGAGCCTGTCCCTCCTGCCCCCTGTAACGTTCTTAAGAAAGCACTTGTCAGTAAGACCTCTGGGAGTTGTGGCCCTGGCCACAGAGTGGAACCCTGGAGAGGAGTGGAGCGGCCGCGCCGGCCGAGAGGCAGCTGGTGTCCGATGGGTAAAAAGGCTGCAGAGAGTACATCTTGCCTCAGCCTCCTGGGAATCAGTCTAGGGCTAATGGTGCTTGGCTTCACCCTCTCCACCCCTGCCCCCTGAACTTAGTGGGGTTCTGAGGCTACTGCTACTAACTGAATATGCATGAAGTATTTAAACATGAGGTGAAATCGTCACATTTCATCAGCTTAGAATGGAACCATCTGAGTATTAACGTTGTCATTTGCCTACAGATTAATATCCTGAGGGCAGCTATCAACAAACTAATATGTGATGGACCAAATGGATCTAAATATCTCGGGCCAGAGCGAATTGCTCAGCTCCAGGATAACGCCCGGCAGAAACTTCTAAGGTAAGTTTCCTCCCACTCAGCTTTCTTAGCTATCTTGTGAAGGCTTAGAATTGTTTTGGAGATAGTAACATTGGAGTAGAATTCCAGTGCCCAGGGCAGCATCTAGGACAATGGTTCTCAACCTGTGGGTCGTGACCCCTTTGGGGGTTGAACATCCCTTTCACAGGGGTTGCCTGATTCATAACATTAGCAAAATTACAGTGATGAAGTAGCAACAAAAATAATTTTATGGTTGGCGGGGGTGTGTGGGGATCACCACAACATGAGGAACTGTATTAAAGGGTTGAGGCATTAGGAAGGTTGAGAACCACTGCTCTAGGACATGCTTTATCTGGGGGAGCAACCACTTTTGTTCCTGTGCCTGTCAGGATCCAGGCAGGAAGCAACGGGCACTCTCACGTTGCGTCCATTTCACCAGGTAGAGGCTTGGCACCTGGAAGCCGCCTGGATACACAGTGGGTTAGGAGCAGGAGTGGGGGCCTGGAGGCTGGGAGGATGCCTTACAGGAGCTGGGCCCGCTGCTGAGCCCTGCCCCTCCCTCTCCTCCTCCTCTCTTCATGGTGGGACACTCATTGGCCAAACCCAACCAGAAGACAGAGTGTTGAGGGCTCCATTGGCATAGCCCATACAGGCCTGCCTGGAGGGTGCCAGAGAAGGGGAGAAGCCGGAGCATCCGAGTCCTCCATCCTCTCCGCTGGTTCTGCCAGGTTAGCAGCAGGTACATCCTTGTCCACAGAGCCTACACTGCTAGCTGGGAAACAGGCAGCTCCTTATGGCCTCTTCCATTCCTCCGTTCCCATGGACATTCCTGGGGGCACAGTCCAGTGCATGTTTACACAATGGACACATCTGGCCAGTTCCCGGAAGCACCCAGGTGTCCACTTACAGCCTCCGTCACTTCCTCTACAAGGCAACTGTGCCATGCCTTTGGCTGCAGACTAGGTGGGATTTTTCGGTTTGCCGGTGAATTTGAAAAGCAGCTATCACTACCACCTAGTTTTACAATGTTTCTCTCATCCCGTGGTGTTGTTTTGTTTATCCCATGATTCCTCGAATGCGCCCACAGCTCTTGGTGACTCACTCAGAGGGATCTTACAGAACAGAGTCCAGCTGCCCGCGAGGCTGCAGGCCGTACAGAAGCCGACTGCACGTCTTTCTCCCACGGAGAGGAAATGGCCTTGCAGTTAGCTGAGGGCTCCACCAGTACTAGACTAGAGCTCAGTTGTAGTAAGTAAATACTGATTAATTTCAGTAAACTATGTATGACAGACAGCTGTGTGAACAGAACTGGGGACTACTTTCAGTCTGCATGCTGAACAAATCATTAGAGTAGCTGGAAGCATTTGACATCAGGATTGGAAGAAGGCCTGTTAACAACCTGAAATAAGCAGACGAGACAGCCGTTGCTGAAAGTTTCGTGAGGAGGAACTGAAGCACTTGCTGGGGAAGAACAAGGATTGTAACCTTCAGTAAGGGTTATGACTCAATGTGAAGGAGAACGAAATCCCCACACCGGGACCACTAGGGGGCAGCATCATGCTATGTGGAGAAAAGGTTGCCGCTGTCAAGGACTTTTACCGTGCTTGGATCCGCAGCAGTCAGGAGATCCAAAGGTGTGCAGCCGTTGGGGGTCACCTCTTGAGGCTCTGTTATTTGTTTCTCTGTGTTTGGTAAATGAAACCCAGGGACTTTGAGACTATAGGAAAAGAAAAAAAAGTTTGGGGGAGGAGTAATGATATAAAGGACTGGGGTAGATAGATAAGAAGATGATGTCAAGACGCCCAGGAACTGATTATGGAAGCAATTGCACAATTATGTTTGACTTGATTGACTATGGAATGATATGACATATGCATTAACTCCCAAGTTAGGTCAAATTAAAAAACAAACAAATGGAAACCCTGCATTGTTCCTGGATGAGTTCTGGGCTTGCACTGAATCCTAGCTCTACTTTAAGAGCAATCAGTTGGTGCCCGGCTATCAATCAGATTAGTGTCTGGGATCTTAAAGGCTTGTGTTCTAACCAGCAGCCCCTTCCTGCTGGTCTCCCGGTGCTGAAGCTGGAGGAGTTGGCGGCATGGTGATAATGACTGATACGGTGTTAGAGGGAATCAGGGTGGGGGGTAGGCGATAGGGAGGGAAGGGAGTTTTGGGAGTAAACAATGAAGGGAGGGGGGGGCACTAGAACTCATCATGATAGCACAACTCAATTTAAAAGTGATTTAATTAACCATGGGGCTTAGGGGGTAGGGAATGCTGTAAGTTAGGTGTGGTGGTGATTGTTCAATTCCCCTTGATATAATTGAATGATTGAACCACTCAATTGTATGATATGTAAATTATGTGCCAATAAAACTGTTGGGGGGGGAAAGATTTTTAATAGGAAGCATTGCATTAGGTAAATCTGCTTCACAAGAACTCTTTGGAGTGTCACAAAGCAAGGCTGTTTCTTTGGAGACTGAAGTACACCTGAGGAAAGCCATGGTGCTTTCATATGCTTATGAAAGTTGGACAAGGGACAAAGAAGACGGAAGACGTGTCGATGCATCTGAGTGGGGGTGCCGGTGAAGAATATTGGAAATGCCGTGGACTGCCAAAAGGACACACAGATCTGTCTGTCTGGTAGGAAGTGTGGCCAGAGTGTTCCTTAGAGGCAAGGATGGCACGAGTTCCCTGAAGAAGGACGTGGCATGGTGCTCGGTGCAGCGGAGGGGCAGTGAGAAAGAAGGCAGCCCTCGGGGAGATGGGCGGACGCAATGGCTGTCCCAGTGACATTGTGAGGACGGCGTGGACGGCAGGACGTTTTGTTCTGCTGTGCACGGGGTCGCTGTGGATCGGAACTGACTCGGCACCTAACACCAACAACACTGTAGCAGCTTTGCTCCACCCTAGCTGTGCTTTCCTCCCTCTGTCGGGTTATGAGGAGCCTTGGTGGTACACTGGGTTGTGCGTTGGGCTGCACCGACAAGGTTGAGAGTTTGAGCCCACCAGCTACTCCTTGGGAGAAAGATGAAGTTGTCTGCTTCTATAAAGATTTACAACCTTGGAAACCCCATGGAGCAGTTCTACTTTGTCTTATAGGGTATCTAGATGTATCAACCTGGTTTGTGGTTTTGTCCTCTTATTGCCATTTTATTACATCTATGTATGTTACAAACCCAATGATACAGTGTCAACCATGGCTGCCCTACAGATACCTTATTTCTCTTAAAGAGACAAGAGAAGTAAACCTGCGGGCTGTCAGTCTGTGATGTAACCTACATGCACTGTTCCTGGTGCTTTTCCTTCCTGTGGGGGAGTTGCTCTCCAAGGTCAGGGTCTTTCCCATGGAAGGACTTGTTCAGGCTGCCCTTATGGGTTGGTTCTCTCAGTGGCATTCAGTCTTTCTCCCACCTTCATTGGGCTGGGTAGCTTTGCTGGATAGAGAATTGTTGGTTTTAGCACTTCGAATATGTCATTCCACTTCCTCCTGGCTCCATTGCCTCCAAGGAGAAGCCAGCGGATAATCTTACTAAGAACCAGGCCCGCCACTTCTCTGGTTTAAGGGTCTCCTTATCTTCGTCGTTTGACAGTTTGACAATGATGTAGCTGGGTGTGGATCTCTGTTTCATTCCATTTTGGGTTAATTGAGATTCTCGGCTCTGTATATGCGTGACTGTTGTGATAGTAGGTTGTGTGTCAACTTGGCTGGGCCAGGATTCTCAGGAGTTTGGCAGTTGAGGCTGCCTCCATGGTGTGACTCAGCAATGTAAACTCCATGATGGAATTGGTGAGCAGCCAAGCAGTCGTGGAGAGATGGAATAGATGAGCAGCCAAGCAGTCGTGGAAAATCACCCCTTATCCACGTCAACCTGGTGATGTCACGTTGGGGTGTGGACTGCATCATACATATAAACAGACACTGTGGAGAACCCCCTTCCCTTTTTCCTGCTTACCTGGATCCTGCCTCTGGCTTCTTGGGACTTAGAACAATGGCCTCCACCAGCCTGCTTCCTGGCTTGTGGGCCCTGGCAGCTATGTGCGTCGGAAAGGGTCTCCAGCTTAGCATCTGGCCCATGGGCTGGGGCTAGACTGAGCCTGCCCACCCTGTAGTGTGTGAACTGCTCTCTCTTGGTAGCAGTTTCTTATACGTAGGTAAGTTTCACGGTTTTTGCTTCTCTATAGAACCCAGCCAAACACAAATGTGTTTAAATCAAATTTTGGAAGTCTCTGGCCATCCTTTCTCCAAGAATTTTCTTCCTCCCACTGCTTTGGGGGTCCATCACACAGACCACTACGCTGGTCTGAGGCACCAGACACTCGTCTCCAGCGCTTTCTCTGTCCTCAGCTTGGTTGGTTTCTATTCACCTTCCTTCGGGTGTACTGATTTGCTCTTCCATCCTCTCAGATCTGCAGGTGTTGATTCCCTGAGATTTTCCACCTTTAGTCATTATACTTTTTAACTCAAACTTCTATCTGACTCTTTTGTATGGTTTTCCATTTTTACTGATGTCATTATCTGAGCACTTGACACTGAACCTGCCTTTAGTTCTCTTACATTCTTAGAGCAGGCACTTGGAAAGGCCCCCTCCAGCCCACTCCCCATTCTGTGCACTGCTTGTCTTTTGAGCAGGACTCAAGCCGCTCTGTGTCTTTGTACGCGTCACCATTTTTGCTGAAATTGGCACATTCTGGATAACGTAGTATAACAATATAGGGTTTTTATTGTTCCCCACCCTGGAGGGTGTTGTGACTTTGTTTTGCTGTATTGTAGTAAGTGGCATCTGGATTTAAACTGCAGAATTGGCCTTCCCACGGTTGCTCTAATTCTCACCTGTTCACCTGGCTTCTTTGGGGCTGTCTGTCTGTGTGCCTGCAGTGCTTGGTGCTCGTTCCGTCCGCAGTCTGAAGAAGTGCCCGAGTGGACAATCCCTCAGCCGCACTCTGAGCCAGGCTCAGGCCCCTGGTCACTCTTTCCTGCCTGTACTGTTGGCACCACACCCAAGCCTTTCCTGTGCTGTGTGTGCCTGCATGTGTGCCCAGCCTCCCACCCAGGGTTGCAGGGAGCCGGGCTCATTTTGGTTGACCCTCACTTTCACAGCCCACTTTGGGATTGCAGGGTCCCCCTGGTGGGACCACACCTGTGACTAGTTGAGCTGTGACTTGGCTCCTCCGTCTCCTGCTGACTACTATTTCTGACAGGGGTGCACAGGGGTCAGCTCCCTGAGGACGTATGAATGCTGGTGTCCATGGCTCCCCTCCCTGCTGACCTGACTCCGTCTGGCCTGAGCTGGCGAGCGGATGGGATGGGGGCAGCCTGGCAAGGCCCTGCTGCTGGTGCCACAGCTCAGCAGGTCCTCACCAGAAAACGCTTCTGAGTGTGCCTGCCTGTGGTTGGTCTCGAGAGCCTGGAAAGGCTTGGTTTGACTTTCTCTCCAGTGTTGCTAGAGAAGACTTCAGATCTCTCCACACGACCTGGGTTTCCAGTCTGCCTTCTTCTTCAGTGGGTGATCCACCTCAAGCCGGGCTGGGGGTCTTGTTTGTCTCATAGACCTGAGGCAGGAATGCACCAAACCAGTACTGGGGCGTTGACCCCATTTTGAATGTGCTTTGGATTAAAATATTCTCTTACAACTCAATAAAAATGGCCTTTAAAAAGTATACTGTAATTATAATTCTGAGGGAAAATAAATATTTGAATTAAAAAATTCATGTTTTTCGATACCAATGTATATCTAAGAGACTCTGGTTTTTGTTTTTAAATTTTAGCTTGTTCTGTCATTTGAAGCCGAGAGAGAGAATTGCCCCTAAATGGCATGAAAATCCTTATGACTGGAATCAGGTGAGTAAGAAGCAGGGCACCACCCTGAGGCCCTGAGGGGAGAAGGGTCCCCTGGTGGGCACACGGGCTCAGGACCTGAGTGGGCTGGGGGCAGGACCCAGGAGAACTGTTGGCCCCAAGCCCTAGCCTGAAACTTGTGTGACAGCACGTGGCTGGTCTGGCCTCTGTCCCACTCTCCAGCTGCTAGTGACTTTGGCTGGGCGGACGACAGCCCGCAAGTCACCTGGGTCATCCTGCCAGGGGGGGTTAGGAAGCCCAGCAGGGGTGGCTGTGCTGGCACTCAGCAACAAGAGCAGTGGGGAAGGCAGCACATGGGCATGGTTCCAACGCTATTGGGAAATTCAGAAAAAGTTTTCTGGAATCTTACATCTTGTGTGCCTCCTAACATTTTTGTGTTGGTTTTGTTGTCTTGTGATGGCCCCATGTGAGCTCTGATCAGAGGTAAGCCCTAGCGGTAGCATGGGAGCTTCGGTAATATGCCAGCTCAGGTCTTACATGAGCCTTGTAGCGGCGCACCTGACGAACACTTGGCCTGTCTCTAGGTTGACCCCAAACTAGTCATGGAGCAGTCCGACCAGGAGGGCAGCCACGGGAAGAACACCTTTCTCTACCAGCTCCACAAGTTGATCGTGCTGAACATCTAGCTGCCGGCTCATACCGTCCAGCACTCGCCGGAGAGCCCTGCCCCCCCCCCCCCCTAGACCACAGATTACTCTGCTGACTGCTCCAGGCTGGCTGCTACCTCTAGCCCTGCACATATGGGCGTGGCGGGGGTGGGGTGGGGTGGGGGTGGTGGCTATCAGGGACCTTTCAGGTAGAAAAAGTGCAGAGGCCAGGCTTTTCTGAAATCAGAAAATCAAGGTATTAAATGTTTTAGAGAAAAACTGCCTTGAAAGAAGACATTATTTGGAAAGAGATCTCTGTTTTACTTTAAATTTGTGGCGGGAAATGGCAGTAGCCAGGATTGTATATGCAGGTCCTGGGTGCACCTGCTTATTGTTCTGTTTCAGTCTTTTCACCTGGGAGACAGGTGCAAATCCGCATGGCGTTTTCTCAGTTTTTACCCCGCCCCCAAGAGGGAAATGATCTCATTTTGGTAAAGCTAACTTTAACTTTGTGCTTTTTCAATTTTAAGTTAACAATTGTTAGTCCACATTTTGGAAATCATACAGATCGCCTGGCAACTAGTCTACTGTGTTGAAACAATAAAAGCATCAGACTAAATTTCTCTTGGTTTTCTCATGGTGTTCAATCAGAGGACAATACCATCTGTTTCATTTCTAAAAACTCAAAATTTCTAAAATTGATACGAGTTATACCAATCCTCCTTTAATGCAAGAACACTTTGTTCTAACAAACTGGCATTCTGTGATGCTCACCCTCCTGGCACAGTTGCTGAAGACAAAATGGGTGCATAAACAAATGTGGTGAAGAATGTGGATGGTGCCTGGCTATCAAAAGATATAGCCTCTTGGGTCTTAAAGGCTTGAAATTAAGTAAGCAGCTATCTAGCAGAGAAGCAACAAGCCCACATGGAAGAAGCACACCAGCCTGTGCGATCATGAGGCGTCGACAGGATGGGGTAACAGACATCAGAAGATCCAAAACAAAAAACCAACATATTGTTGAGAACAAGGGGTGGGTGGGGTCAGAACAGAGACCCAAAACCCATCTGTAGACAATGGGACATCACCTCACAGAAAGGTCACAAGGAAAGGATGAGTCGACCAAGGCTCAGTATAGCACTGATGACACATAACATATTCCTCTAGTTCCTTGAGGCTTCCGCACCCCCGACTGTCATGACCTCAGCCCTACCTTTCACTGCGGACTAGACCAGAGCATGTGCACGGGTACAGATGAGAGACAAGAGCTCATGACATATGGGATCCAGGAACAGGAATGGGAGTAGTGATAGAAGGAGGGTAGGGTGAAGGTGCGGAGAGGAGGGGGGCAGGGCGAACTGATCGCAGGGATCGACACGTAACCACACACTCCCTCCCAGGGGGATGGACAACAGACTGGGAGAAGGGAGACATCGGTCGGTGTAAGATATGAAAATAATTATCTATAAGGGATGGCGGGTGGGGGGAGGGAGGGAAAAAAGAGGAGCTGAGAACAAGGGCTCAATAGAAAGTAAATGTTTAGAAAATAATGATGGTGACATGCAAATACGTATGATACAATTGATGTATGGATTGTCATAAAAGCTATAAGAGCCCCCAATAAAATGATCTTTTAATAACAAAATTTTTAAAGTTATACCAAAACCTAGTGCCCCATGGCAACCGTGCTACACAGCACAGAGTGGAGCTCCTTCTGGACTTTGAGACTACATCGTTCCCGGGCCAGGCAGGCGCCCTCTGCATGCTTCTTTGCAATGCTGACATGGTTAGCTTTCCAGCCTACCCCACAGCACCCCAGCAGTCTTGAAGGCGTGTCAGGTGCCACGGGACAGGCCCCCACTCATCGAGACCACTAGGTCTCCCAGCCTGCCCCGCCCTCACAACCATTGCTAGGCCGGAGCCCGTTGTTGCAGCCACTGGCCAGTCCACGCCATCAGAGGTCTTCGTCTGACTGGCTGCCCCTCTATTCTACGAAGCAGGATGTCCTTCTCCAGGAACTGGCTCCTCCTGACCTGCCCAACGTACACGAGACAAAGTCTCGGATTCCTTGTTTCCAAGGTGCATGCTGGCAGTGCTTCCTTTGAGACAGATTTGTGTGTTATTCTGACAGTCCATGATAAGTGTAATTTTATTCACTAACATCCCAACTCAAATGCATCAATTTTCCAGTAGCCTTATTCACTGTCTAGCTTTTCACATGCACATGAGTTAATTAGGAAAAAGCAAAACATGTTTAGATTGGCTGCACCTTAGCGATGTTGCTCGTCAAAGGTTCGTGTGCCCAGTGCAGTATGTCCTTTGATTTCCTGACTGATGCTTCTATAGGTATTGATTGTGAAGCCAAGTCAAATGAAATCCTTCCATTTTTTCCCCATTATTGTGTTAGTCTGGGTTGAATAGAGAAACAAATCCAGAGACACTCATATATATGTGTAAGAGAGAACTTTATATCAAGAAGTAATTATGCATCAATAAAACAGCCCAGTCCAGATGCAGTCCATAAGTTCGATATATCCAATACTAGCTCATAAATTCCTCTTCAGACTCATGCAGCACATGCAATGAGACCAAATGCAGGAAGATCACTGACCAGTGGCTATGGAAGCATCTCAGCCCTGGTCCAGGTCTCCACATGACTCTTCCAGCTCCAAGGCTCTGGCGGCCATCAGCATGGCTCCATGTGGCTTTTCAACAGAAATGTGAAGCAGAGAGAAAGTGTGTCTTGCCTCCAGGGAGGAAGACAGGAGTTCCCAGAATCCTCAGGAGAAGGCCATGCCCACAGAGGCTTCAATGGCTATGGCCTGATTGGCAGGCTAGACTCCACCCCTTCGCTCAAGTTGACGGGAGATGATGTAACTGCCACAATCGGGATAGTGCTTATTGATAAGGTTTCTGGATTTTTGTTTTCTATGTATTGAGTTGAAATCCGTAGTGCAGGCTGGAGTCTCTGAGTTTCATCTGTTTCAAGTCCCTTTCACTGTCATCAAGCAAGGTGTGCCACCTGCATGTAGCAGGTTGCTGCTGAGCCTTCCTCCAGTCCTGATGCAGTATTCTCCATAGAGTGCACCCTTTTGGATTATTTTCTCAGATACAGAACGAGTAAGAATGGTGAAGGGATGCCGCCCTGATGCACACTGCTCTCAGTTTAAACCAGGCAGTCTGTCCATGCTGTGCGTGACAGTGATCTCTTGATTGGTGTGCAGGTTCTGTGAACAGAGTGATGTGTTCTGGAATTCCCATTCCTTGCGATACATCCATAGTTGATATGACCCATGGCTGCTGTGTTAGACAGGGTTCTCTAGAGAGATAAAACCAAATTGCTCATAGTTTAATATATTTATTTATAAAGATAATTAGATATATAACAAGAAATGAACTGTTAAATCATATACAGATAAATATATAATACAAGAAATAAACAGTTAAATTATAAAGCACTACAAATGGCTCAGTGCAACTCACGTCCGTGAGAGAGAGAGAGAGTTGTGAGAGACTAGCAGTCCTTCAAGTATAGTCTGCTGCCAGATCTTCCTCTA